CTGCTCCGCGTCCCTGCTCTACATCGCCGTGTCTGAGGCTCTCAGCTTCACACTCTGAGTGGCTCAGCAGACACGCTGCACACACACGCCACTGACGTGCCTGCTGGCCTACTCCGGGCACATCATGTACCTGAGCCCATGTGTCTGTCCCTTCAACAGCTGTGACACAGACTGCATCAGTGGCCTGAAGCCACGCAGCAGGTTAAAGCCCATGACCTCCATGTTGCTGAGCATGCTGCCCTGGCAGAGTGAAGACCTGTGAAGTCCCGAGGGGCATTGTCCTGCAGGAGTGCCACACTCCTGGTGGCACAGTCAGCCACAGTAGCTCCATGTGGCTTTGCCACTGAGGGAGAGCTGGAGGCATTGGGGGCAACCACTGGGACCAAAGGAGCCTTGCCAGGAACCTCCTGGCCTCCTATTTCTATACAAGAATGAGAAGCCTATTTGGCACAGACCCTGTGTGTGAACAGCCTTGACAGGCAGAGATGAGTGTCCAGGAGAGCTGTGTCTGCGCTAACCCCCTTGATGACAGGCCTGCGAGGTACGTGTGCGTTGCAAAACGATTCCCACACAGAGAGGCCACCCTGCCTCCCTCCAACTGTGGACCCAAACCAAAGTGGCTTTGGAGCTTCCCAGCTTCCCTCAACGAGATAAGCTTGAGCTGGAATGAAAGTGGAGGATGACTCAGAAGGTAACTGACACAGAGAGTGACGCCAAGCAGCTGTGGTAGGAAAGAGGAACGGAAGGGGCAGGCCCAAGAGGAAGGAGGCCTCCTCCAGGAGCGGAGGCGTGAGGCTGGCGTCCTCCAGCGGCCCGGGCAGAAGCCAGGCCTCCTCCCAAAGGCAGAACCAGGCATACATGGGGGCAGGAGGCAGGTGGCAAAGGGCACCTGCCGGTGCAGGCACAGCGATGGATGCCTGGATTCCAGGTTCCCACACAAACAGCAGGGTGTGGCATAGCCAACGTGTGCCCCCCATCCTGGTCCAAGTCTAGACTGTCACCCCAGCATGGTACAAATGTTATATAAACAGCTGCCAGGCTGTACTGCTCAGAGAACAGGGACAAAGAAGTCTATGTGCTTTATTAGAGATGCAATTTTTAAAATATTTTTTATGGGAGGCTGGCTGAGTCTGTGGATGCAGAGCCCACAGACTCCAGGGCCACTGGCTTCCGCTGCTTCTATGTTCTGATCATTATCCTAAGTCCCATCTGTCACCAAAGAGGATGAACGAAAAAGTACATCAAGTCCAGAGCCACCAGGACAGGCTCTGCCCTCAGCACACAGCCTGGGAGAAGTGGCTGCAGGCTGTCAGGCGCAACCCTGCTTCAGTGATGTTCTCAGGAGGGGACCGCACAGTGGTGGAACAGTTGGGAAGCAGAGTGACATCACCAGCTCTCCTTATAAAGAGCCAGCAGCGGGGCAGAGCAGAGCAGCTCCCAGGCCCAGAAGGCAGCCATGGGGCTCGGAGAAAGCTTCCCTGAGAGCTCGGAGAGAGGACAGGGCAACCCAGAGCTCCGTGGGTGGCAAGGCCTCCTGCGCCTTCAGGGCACAGGCCACAGGCCGGGCTGGGGCGGCGTCTGGCTGCAGTGAGGAGCCCAACCAGTCCTTGCAGCTGGAGACTCAGGAGAGCTCTGAGGAAGACCGTAGCACTCTCTGTCCATTTTACATCACACTAACCCAGTCGTCCCACATGGGATGAAGGGCGAGGAGGGCCTGCTGTGGCCCACAGGAACAGCGCCCCAGCCCCAGTGCAGCTGGGAGAGGAGCGTGCCGCAGCCTGGGAGCGCCCAGGAAAGCCTCTTCCTACGCAGCTTCTTTGATTCTAAGACACAGCAAGCAGGCAATAAACCCCACGGACTGATGGGCACGCACAGAGCTGCAAGGCTCCTCCCGGCGGCTTCAGGACCAAGGTCTGGTCTGCCAGTGAAGTTGGTGGGGCCCTTCCCGCAACCTGACTTAAGGAAATGCCTGCTTCTGGCCGTCATCGGAAACCGCCTCTGTGCTAGCGTATATGCACATAAGTCACGGCGGGCACTGTCTTCAGGTTTGGAGACAAACTGAAAATCACTTGTCCCTTACACATTTGAGGAAGCCCCCAACGGGAAAATAAGTCACGAGAGACCCAGCCAGGCCAAGACTCATCACACACTAGAACATTATATATCTTAAATGTGTGTCTTTGTGAATTTCCCAAGTGTGAGACAAAGAGAACCTGCGGTGCTGGCAGACTGGCTGCAGCCTCTCCCCATCTGACAAGCAGGGAGCACTGTCCGTGACGCAGGCTAACCTGCAGGCCCCAAGGAGCACTGACCTTCAGTGAAGCCCGTGTCGAGATCATGCCTCAGCGCTTCCATTTCTCGGGTGACCAGCAAGTCATTTGCCCCTTTGGATAATTTGCATCTCAGCCCACTGGGCTACAAGGCCAAAAGTTGATGAATTTGAGAGCATCTCATAAAGTGACTTCTGGTGACTGCCAATGTCTTAAGGAAAATATATCTAAATACCCATATTGTACCATAAATTATGCCCTGAATATTGCACAAGTTATCTATATAAGAAACCCAAAACAAAAGTAAAGAGCGAAATATAAGATAATAGCAAAGAAGTAGCCAGATCTTTTGCAAATGGGAGGGGCCAGCGGGAGGCTGTTGGGAAGTGAGCCCAGTGGGATTAAAGCGAGTCCAGTGCATGCACCTCGATGTGTGCTCCGAACAGGTCCTAGTCAAAATACAACTAAAACAAGCGAGATTAACACAAATTATCATCTAGCTTCATCTCGCATTGCCAGCACACACGCATTCCACGTCAGCAGTGTCTGACAGTGGTGACACGAGCCGCATGACAAGTACCATGCTTTGATTCAATTAATTATTTGCCTGAATAAGTGGATGAGCTTCCCTCGCAGGCTGGTGCTTCCCAGGTGCTTGCTTCTGACCCCACAGCAGCTACCAGGCATAAAAGCAGGGGGGTCCGGGCTGCAACGCCAAGCAGGACAATGGGTGTGGTCAAAAAGTGCATGTGTGAGTGATCAAACTAAATATATGGAATAAAATGCAGGGGCTGGGGCGAAAAAGCTCTCATTAAGGGAGAGTCTTTACCAGTTCTTTGCTGAATGCATTTATTTGGTTACTTGATCTTCCAGCCAATCACATTAGCAATGACAAAAGATATGCAAATTAACGGGGACAATGGCCAGCCAAATTGCTCTGAGTCAGACCCAGAAGGGAGACATTTTCAGTAAGGCTGCAACTTGATTCACTCTTCCAAACCTCTGCATAACCAAAGAGCATTCAGGAGTCATGCTTGGCTAGGACCTGAGAGCCATACTACAATCTCGGGCCAAGAACGATGCAAACAAAGATCAGCTTCACTTCACAAAGTAAGTTAACACTGGAAATGTGTGCATGACTTAGACCCAGCAGAATGCTTACCAGGTCACTGCTGAATAATTACATAGCAACAAAAGAATATGCATGACTATGTTTGAATCACCATTTCATTGTATGTTTTAAGTGAACAAAACACTACATTTGGGGGACAATTTAGGCCTAAATTTTCCTTCTATTTCCCTCAAAAACTCAAACCAATTTATCATGATTAAATTATCCTTAAAACTACATGATTGGCATACTGAGAATAACAACATATTCCATCAAATTCACTTGTTTACTATGAAAATAAACTGACCAAAGACAAACATGGATCTCATGTAAACTACTGCTGTAACACCTCATTACTAAGCTGCAGTTATCAAAAGTCTGCAAGATTCACTCCCATTCTCCTCTCTTGTCCTCTTATTGTTTTTTCACCTGCAGTAGGCTCAGAAAGACTAACTGCACGGCCAAATTTGGGATCTCTACAACTACCCAGTTGTAGTTAATCTGTCAAATAAAGTAACAGTGATCTTAGTTCAGTCCCTAGTGGACAAAAGTAGAATACCCACTTCTTGGCATGATTCAGCACACTTAGACCTAAGTCATTGTGAATAGGCAGCCACAAAAACGAGCACGAGTCCTTTCCTCATCCTGCAGCCTCTGAAATGTTTGCTGTCTTAATAGATGGCTTCGGAGAAGCCAGGCTGTGTCTCCCCAGAGTGCACGTGGTGCAGCAAGTGAATCTCTCCAAAGGCAGGGAGAAGTTTTTCACCAATGAGAGTAGGGCCTCCCTCCTGGTAGCATGATCCCCTCAGCACAGCCGCTTACCTGCCAGGGCCACACAGAGAGCAGAGAGAGAGAGAGCTGCAGGAAGGGCTTCCCCCTTAGCAGGAGTAATTTCAACAGAAAGTTCAGTTCATGGGAAGAAGCTGCTCAATTCGATTACTATGCTCTGGGGTCAAAGTCATGGCCAACCTAGCGTTCACAGGGTACTGAGAGCCATGGCCCACCCGCCCTGTTTCCTTAGCCAAGGCGGAGAAAAGAGGAGCCCCGGCTGGGCAGCGCCTAGGTGTTGAGCCCAGCCAGTGCTCAGGTGCCTGGGCAGGCAAGCCTTGCCAGTGAGCTCATGCGGAAGCTCACCTTCCGGATGTCCTCAGAGACTGAAGAAGGATATGAACGTCTGGGCTTGCTAAAATCAAGTTTCCTTACTGGCATGCACGACTTCTGCAGCCAGATGCCATACGGGTGGTTTATGTTCTTACTCTCACTTCATGTTAATTTCACTAACGGTTGACACAGAGTTAACATTTTGCGCGGTTTCCAGCGCCAATGCACTACGTTTCCCGGGACAAAACGGCAGTTCCTACACTTCTACTGCCACCCGGAGATTTCCTCCTCCCACCACTTGCTCTTCTGACAAACTCTTGCTTTCTTTGCTCACGCTGGATTTAGACTAACTTCAGTGTCCCAAGTAGCGGCAGCCTGGGGCCCACGACTGTGCGCTTCCGCACGCTCGGGTAGTCTGCATGCACCCCGGGAGCTGGCAGGAGTCTTGGGGAGCCTGCACGCGCCCGGAGCTGCGCGGGCGCGGGGCAGGAGGCGGCCGCGCGGCCGGGCCCACTTACCTTCTGCAGCCACTGCGTGTAGTTCTCCATCGCGTGCTCCAGGTGCTGCAGCCGGCGAGCGGGCGGCTCTGGCTCTGCGTGGGGCGCATCCCGCTGCAGCGCGTTGTTGCTGAGCGGGTCGCCCGCGCAGCCCGTGTCCAGCTCCGGCAGCACGAAGGTGTAGGCGCAGGGCCCGTGCTGCACGCGGCTGAGCCTGCGGGCACCGGTCGGGGCTAGCGCCAGCGCCAGAGCGAGCAACGCCAGGCCCGGGGGGACCCCCATCGTCCCGTCCCAGCGCGGGGCCATGTGCCGCGCCCCACTGCCCGCCCTCTCTAGCTGCTCAGGGGCTCCTGCTGCACATCCACGCCAACGCTCCGAGCGACTTGACAGGAATGCGAGTGTGTGCCCGCAGCTGCCGGCCGGCCGGGATGGATCGTCTTACAGCCGGGCTGGTGCTCATGACCTCGGTCCTGCAGGCCCCGCCCCTCCACAGCCTCGGGAACCAATAACGGGGCGGTCCACCTTAACACTCAGTAACCAGGGCGGTCCACCTTAACACTCAGTAACCAGGGCGGTCCACCTTAATGCGCTCGGGACCTGGCCTGGTCACCCTGGCACAACCTGCGCCCGGCCAGGTCCGGCGCAGCCTACCGTTCTGTGTCGCTGGGCGCTGGAGGAAGGGTGGCCTGCTGTCCCTCTCCGCTGAGATGCCCTTTGCTGGGCGATGTAAATTTGCATAATCGTTACTCCCTACAAGCTCTTCTTCCCCACCCGGGAAGTAGCCCTCAGCTGCTGTCAGCCAGGCTTGCCCTCGCTCTATTCACTCCACTTGCGCAAGCGGAGAGAACCAAGCAGCGGCCGTCTGCCCCCGCGGTCCACGCCGGTCCCGGGCCGCGCAGGCCCGGCTCTCCAGGGGCCGCAAGCAGCTGGGCGGGCGCAGGGTCCCTGCCCTGCATCCTGGAGAGCCGGCGGCCGGTCACCGCCCAGACCCCCGGGGCGCCCGTGCCGCGTGGTGGGTGCCACGCCGCGCTGTGCAGGAGGAGCCCTGAGCATCCGGAGGGAGCGCGACCTCAAGACAGCAGCCCCAGCCCAGCCTGCAGGGAGAGGCCGGGCAGGCCTGCAGGCAGGGAGGGGGGAGGCTGCTGCTTGCCTGCCTCCTGCCCGCCCGAGCCCCTTGGGGTCCCCGACTTCCCACCTCCGCTGCACCCTCCGGAGCCACATGCCGGCGCAACTGCGCTGGAGCGTCCTGCCCTTTCCTCAGACCTCTCCTCTAGCGGCCAGCACAAACCCACACGTGTATGTGGGGAAACTGAGTCAGAAGGCTCCCTGCTTGTACTGGCTCTCAGCCTGTTGCTGCTTGGCTGTGCAAAGCTATCTCTTCCACAGGAATGACAAGGAGTGCAAGTCTGAGCCGCATGGGCACCCAAGAAAGGCAAGACTGACACTCAAGACGCAAAATCAGGGTGGACTCCAGGCACAGACAGGCTTGTCATCCTAGTCTTGGGGAGGCTGAGGCAGGAGGACCCCAAGTTCAAGCCTGGCCTGGGCAACTCGAGTACTTGGGGAGAACCTGCTCAAAAGCTTAAGCTCCTCCTTGGTAAGCACAAGGTCCTGAGTTCAGTCCCTGCACCAAAAACTAAAGCTAAATAAATAAACAAGATAGAACTCAGAATGCAGCCTAGTGCTAAGGCCCTGGGCTTAATCTCCACTCCTATCCCCAGACCCATAAAAAGAGAACAGAGGCAGACGCAGAGAGACAGAGCCAGAAACTGGTTGCTTTGCCAGACAAACAGAAACCATGACGCTGGGAGTACTGGTGTTGCTCTGGGAAGATGGCTAAAGACTCATTTTGAGCAACAGGAAAACTCGGTGGTGGGAGGGATGTAGCCTGGGTCCGGGCCCTTGCACTACATGGCCCCGGCGTGCAGGGTGCAGGAAGGCTGCGGTCAGCAGGCCCATGGCTTATAACTTCTACAACCCCCAGAGAAGTGAAGAACTCTGTTCCGTGGAGTTCCCGGGCTGTCTGGTCTTGGAGACTTTACACCCCACACCCCACGCAGATGAGCAGGGCCCTGGAAGGCAGACTCAGGCCTCAAGGCTCTTGGCTCCTGCCAGTGTCCAGACCCCGGGGCCGGACACTGTTCAGAGGGTGCTCGCTGGCACCAATGCACCGAGTCTCCAGTGTCCTTGTGACACTTTCCTGCAGTCCAGACTGTGAGAGGCTTGCACCACAGATGCCAAAGGCCTCCTCAGGCAACTGCAAACCTTCCTCAGGGTTTCTTCCTGCTTCTGTGCTTTGTCCAACCCATCTGGCGTGAGCTCCTCCGTGGTGCTTACCCTGTTTCAGCACTGATGCCCCAAGCTTCATGTGACAGCAGGGAGAATGGATGAGTGAGCGAGATGGCCGGCTGGGCCTCTGGTCCCTGATGAGTCAATGTTCCCGCCCCTCTACCCATATCTCCAGGGAGGACTGGTGTTGGAGAGGAAGAAACATGGGAACACAGAGAGCGGGGCGGCAGGGAACCTGCGCCCTAACCATGTTCCCACCTCCTAGCGGAGCAGAAGTGGAGCAGGATGCCCTGGTGTAGTGTCCTCACTGGCCCTACAGATGTTGGAGCATGTGTACTCTTCCCAGATGTCAACCCCATACCATACCTGGTGCTGACACAGACTGTAACCCTGCTCTGAGGCAGAAGTCAATGGTACGGTATGTGTAGAGAAGGGTGTATTGACCAAAGGCCCTCCCGGCACTGAAAGGCAAGCAAGCACCCAGATGACAAATGCTGGGGGAGCCCCTACCCTCCCTGCCCTCCCGTCCTGCCCTGTCCTCCTCTTGCTCCCCCACCTTCCCCAGACCTCCCCTCTGCTTCCTCCTCTGTGACCTGACCTGAACCCAGGGTGGCTCAGGAGCCCAGGGCTGTGGTGCCTCTGAAGGGCTCGCTGCAGCGTGTCACAGGGCCCTGGCCCCGCTGCACAGCTGCTCTGCTCACCGCCCCCCTCACCCACCCTGTGGGCGGCAAGGCAGCCACATGCAGGGGAACTGCAGGAGCTGCAGAGTGGTAGACCTTGGAGTCTCACTCAGTGGCTCAAGGGCGTGGCCATGGGCACCAGCTGGGCCCTGGTGGCTAGGCTGGATTTGAGCCACAGCAGAGGGACTGGGAAACAGCAGCTCAGATGGCTTCCAAAGGGAGGGGAGCTGCGACATGGAGGGTCACCTTGGACTGGAGGGCCAGCAGAGGCCTCGGAAGCTGCTCTGGAGCGCCCTCAGGCCTGGGCACAGCAGCGCGGTGCGGACCCTGGCAGTTGAGAAGGGCGCTGCTGCGGATGGAGGGGCTCCAGGCCCGCGCAGAGGCAGTGGCTTGGCCTTGCACAGCGCCAGCTACTGGCCAGGCCCGAGCTAGCTGGGAGCTTCAGGGCCCAGGAGACAGCCTGGGCTGCCCGGGCCTTGCTGTCAGCGAGTCCACAGAGTGAACCCAGGTGGCCAGTGGGATCGTGTCAGAGGGACCTCTGTGAGACCTTCCCTGCTGGCCCCACACTGGGGAGGGGGGAGTAGGGGCCAGGAGGGGCGTGTGCAGGCTTCCTCCTTTCTCAATCCAGGCTGAGAAGAGAAGGTCAAGGGCTCCCTGCCTCAGTTTCCTCGGCTCAGGAAAGAACACGCACTTCGGATATGGTAGAAACTCAAGAACAACGGTTTCCAGCGCAGCTGGATTTGCGCGGGCATTGGGGCCTTTGCTGCCAACACTGTGGAATTAAGATCACTGCTTGTCCGCAGTCTTCAGACCCCCTTTCCCCGCTCGCCAGCGCTCCTTTCCCTCCTGTGTCCCCTCAGCGCAGGACCAGGGCTGTGTCCTACTCTCCTTGGTTGTTTCTTGTCTTAGACAATGGGAGACAAGACAGTTATCTTTAGCTCAGTCTCCACATCTGCAGAATGGGCACAGTAACAGGGCACCATCCCTGAGCCAAGGGACAATGAAGGGAGGTGACAGATAGGAAGCCCCAGCTGGCCTGGCACATCCAGGGCTGTGTTCTGGGTCTGCCTGTGTGTTCCTACTTGTGTTCCAGTGTGGCTTGCTTTGTAGCTTGTGTAATTGAATTTTATGGCCGTATTTATCTAATCCTGCTTCCTAGCACAATGTCCTCTTGATGTCTGAGATCATTTTTGAACATTTTTTTAAAAATCACACATTGAAGAAGCACAGCCTCTACGGAGATGGCTGTGTAAACGCGCTGGCCACTCTGGGAGCTCTGACGTTCCTCCCACACCCCACACCTGGAGCAGTGAGTGCCTGGCACACAGTGGGCACTGAGTAAATATTTGGTAACTGAATGAAGAGTTGGAAACCATGCAGTAGGAACACTCGGCAGAGGCTGGAGCCATATCCAGCGTCCTGGACTTGCGGTCCTGCCCGAGCTGGTGAGAGCCTTAGGCCCTGGGAGCCATGGCAGCAACGCGGATGTCATTTTAGCGTCGTCACTGTGGCTCATCACCCACTCCTTCCCAGCCAGTGCAGACAGATGACCTTCTACTCAAGAACTTGTGGAGTGCCATCCTCACGGGCTGTTTCCTGGGAGATAACGCGTTCTCTTCGGTGCAACCCGAAAGACTTAGACACCAGTGTTGGCCTCATGCGAAGCACGCACTTTGGTACGACTTACATATCCGCAACGGAAACCTTGTTCTATCTATTTTTTCAAAGCCAGCTTTACTCCTCTGCAGGGTCTGGTCAGATTAAGAATTTGGCAATTAAGCTAAAAATAAATTCCAGTGGTACATAAAGCATTTAAAAATAGTTGCTTTAATCCGGTTCTTGGTTCATGTATTATCTGGCAAAGGCCAGTCTTTGATGACAGCCCTAAACAGAATTCATTACATGTGAAAAGTTAGCACCTTCTATCCTGATGGATTTATTCTTCCTTCTTGACTTTTCTCCAGGAGTTAGTAGACGTCCTTAAGGGAGCAGCAGAGGCGACTGATAAAGACTAAGCTGCATGCTGACCGTGAAGGGCCGCTCTGTGCTTGTGCATCCCTCGGCTGTCGCAGTGCCCGTGCTCTTGGGTCCCTCCTTTCCTTGGCTCCTTTGCTTACCTCAGTTTACCCAAAGCAACGGCCTCCGACAAACCAAGCACAGCTAGTTTTCCTAGTATGTGCTCAAATCCACCATGGTAGATCTGGGCTCAGAACTGCCTCAAAGCCTCTCAGTTGGTTTCTCCTCTGTAAAATAGTGGTAACGCAAGCTCCCGTGTTGGTGGTGTTCATGGTTGTGATGGCGGAGATAACGTGAGTGCAGCGATTACCTGTCGGTATCACGAGCACGCAATAAATGTCTGCTGCTATTAAGCTGGGCGTCACTGGCGCCTAACTGCTCTTTTAAATATTGACTCTTCTCCCCCTCTTCTGAGCTGTGTAGCTTGATGGCTTTTTCAAGACTTGAG